CAGTGGTCAGGCCGCCCGAGCCCCTGGCCAGGAAGGGCCTCAGAGCTGGGAGCCGCTGGCGGTGCTGGGGCCCGGCTGGCTCAGCGAGCGGCAGCTGATCCTGCGGATGGAGTGCAAGGCCACCGTGCAGCAGCCCCGCAGCAGGGAGCTGATGTTGTAAATGGGCTGGCCCTGGCGCCGCTGGGAGCGGCAGAGCCAGGCCACTGTGGGGACAGCGGGCACCACCACGGCCAGCAGATCGACAATGTAGTGGCGGCTCCAGTAGCTCTTGGGCTCGGCTGCCTCCTCCTCCTCTTCCACGGGGCATGCCACGCTCACCGACAGGCTGGGGTTGGGGTTGGCACCGGGCCGGTGTGGGGTCGGCCCGCGGGTGATGGGCTCCGGGGCCTCAAGCTCATCACCCACCTCATCACCCACCGTCACCACCACCGCTGAGTTGGGGTCTCTGGGCCCTGGGGGGTGGGGATCCGGCTCCGGGCACCTGCCCCCTGACTCGGGACCCGTCCCGCAGACCTGGGCCTTGGTCACCTTCTCCAGGATGGTGTCTAGGTCAGGCTGGTACTGCAGCGAGTCTGTCTGGATGGCACGCTCCTGCATGCAGCTGGCCTGCACGCCAGCCTCCATGCCGCACAGCAGCTTCTCGTAGGTGTTGCTGGCCGGGCAGCGGGGCCCCAGGCTGAAGGAGCTGTGCAGCGAGGCCTCCTCGGGGCCACAGTCCACCCCCGACGACAGCAGGCTGCTGGCCTCCAGCACATCCGTCCGGCTCATGGTGTCATCATTGGCCGCGAAGCCACTGTCAGCCCCGTCCTCAGCGGAGGAGCCAGGGTGGTCCCCAGGGGGCTGGTCCCCGCAGACGGCCGGGTCGCTCAGCTTGGTGTAGGTGGAGCTGCGGGTGAGGGAGCGGGCGGGGGAGCCGCCTGCTGACTCCCCGGCGCCGTCCTCCTTGGCCGTGCCATTCTGGGCCACCTCCATGCTGTGCAGCAGCGTCTCCAGCTTCTTGTTCTGGATGTTGATGTCCATGAAGTACTTCTGCAGCCCCTTGTCCTTGTCAATCAGGTTGTTCTTGACCGTGTCGATGACCTGCTTGAGCTGCTTGATCTCCTTGCGGGCCTCCTTCAGGGCCAGCTGGGCTTCCACGCGGTGGCACTCCTCCTCGATCCAGTCCTCCTGCATGCGTGACAGCTGTGTCTTCAGGTCGTCGATCTCGGTGTCCCTGTGGCGGACGAGACACATGCTCACTGCTGGCCTGGACTGCCACCAGGGGGACAGGTCCGGAGGGGGCTGTCCCCACGGACAGACGGCCTGTACTGCCGGCTCACAGAGCTAAAACCAGGATCTACTCAATGCTCCTTCCTTCTCCTTACTCCCCAGGGTGAGGGGGGTGGGAGAGGGCCAAGGGGTAAAGACAGGAGAGGCCTCCTCCCGGAGGGAGGGGGGCGGGAGGGAGGGGGGAGAAGAAATGGGGCAAGAGACAGCCCGGCACCCCACCCCCTCCGGGCCGTAATGCAGAGGCCTGTCCACGTTTAAATCCATCACCTGCAGAGCAGAGTAGACGGTAAAGAGTCTCAATTTCAAGGTGCTCCTGCTATAAAAACCCAAGACATCCTTAAAAATCTTAACGTATAACCACAGAAGGAAACCTACAATCTGCTCTATGGGAAGGGATGTGGCCTCCTGTTTGGCGGCTTTACATGACCACCTGCAACATGGGGGCTGGAGGCGGGGGGGAAGCTGGTAATTCTACATCTTCCCTCAAGTGGAGGGAGAAGTGGGCAATCAGAGGGGAACGATGAAACGGGGTGGCACTCTTTCATCCGGGGGGACATTTCTGTTTTATATCTACTATAAAGAGGAAAGCCCCCCACCCAAAAAAGGCAAAAAAGGCAAAAAAGGCACGCAGCTACTCCTGAGGGAAGAGGCAAGTGCCAGGTGAACCCGACAGTCGGCAGACTCTTGTCCAGAAGCTCTCGGGCTGTAAGTCCCTGAGCTGACGATGACTTGGGGGGCGTGGGGGAGGGAGGTGAGTTTGACAAAGATGCCATCAAGTCCGGAGCTAACACCAGGACGGACAGAGCAGTGAGAAAGCAGTGAGCCTGGAACCGGGCTGGGGGTCCCTCCTTCAGCTCACCCCTCAGCGACACGGCCACACGCAGCCGCCGGCCCGGCGTTCGTACAAATACAGCCCACAAGTGGCACAATGTCACTTTGGGATTCTTGATCCCATTCGAATGACAGTCCCAGATCAAGCATCGTTTATTTTCAAAGTGAGATCGGAAATGCAGTTCAGGAAGTGGGCCCAGGAATCGCAGCCGCAGTGTGCCCAGGGGCCTGGGTCACCGGAAGGGGACAGACCGCTGACGGGACACAGCTCGGCGCCGCGGCAGCAACAGGCTCAGAGTGGCAGCAACAGCGATGTTGGGGGTACAGGTATGGGGGTACTCGCCCTTCACCCCTCCCATCTCAGGGTGGGGGGCTCATTCCACGGGGACCCTCCTCACTGACATGGAGCCCAGGGAGGAAGAGTGAGTTTGGAAGAAGGAGCTGGGCATGCTCAGCTCTGCGGGCACCTGCCCCCTCTCCTTGGAGCCAGCAGGGTCCCCGGGGCTGTGGCTTCCCAGTCTTGCCTGGGGCTTTATCTTTGAACTGAGTCCTGAAGGATAAGTTTGCCAAGAAAGTCAGATGGGGAAAGGCCATCCCAGGAAGTGGGGGCACAGCCTCCGAAACCACAGGGTGTAAAGGATTACTGAGAGGGAGGCGACCGCTAGAACGGCAGGCACCAAACTGGATACACAGAGAGTGTGTGGAGTGAAGCCGGTGATGAACGACCACAGGTTCCTGCAAGGGTAGCAGGCGGGGAGCGGCCAGGGGTTAGGTGTAGGCCCTCCACGGCAGGGCACGCGGCCTGCTCGGAGCCGCAGGCCAGCTCTCGAAGCTGTGAGAGGGGCCGCCTCCCTCCTGAGACCTCCGTGCAGACAGCCCAGCAGACCCAGGGCATCGCTGAGGGGAAAGAAAAACAGAAACCCCAGCCCTGCAGACAAGGAGGCCCAGATGCCGCCTGCAGCTGCCACGGTTCGAGGAAGAGGTGGCGTGCGAACTGTGTGCTTCCCGTGACCTGCAGTGCCCGGGACCGACAAGTCTGTAGAGACAGAGACTCGTGGTTCCCAGGGGCTGGGGGGATGCAGAGAAGCGGGCATGACTGCTGCTGGGAGTGGGTTCCTTTCTGGGGTGAAATGTTCTGGAATTAGATACTGTGATGGTTGCAGAGTTCTGTGACTATAACAGAAACAACAGATTGTGTGGTATGTGATTTACAACCAATAGAGCTGTTACATGTGAAAAGAAGATGAAGGAAGACCTGGTCTTTGGGGCTGGCCCCGCCCTCCAGGGCCCCGGAGTGCCCACAGCTCCCAGTCGGCTGCACATCAAAATCAACACAGTTGGAGAAGATGGTGGAGGCGAGGAGATCGGAGGGCGGCCCTGAAGATGAGGCCACCGGCCTGGACAGGGGGAGGCCAAGCATTGGCCCTCAGGTCTGGAGAACGCACTTAGGGGGGCCCGAGGGGGTCCTGGGAGATCCCTGGGCTGGGGAGGAGCTCAAAGATTTCTCCTGACTGAACATCATCTATAAGAGACGAGGAGGAAGGCTCTGGGGCCTGAACTGGTGGGTCAGGAGTCCCCTGGGGACGAGCAGGGCCAACGGGCTGCTCCTCCCTCACAGAGAAGGAAGGCCGGGAAGACAGCCCTGCGCGCCCCTGCCCAGGAGGGAAGGAGCCAGGGAGAAGTGGCCAAAGGGGCTGCCGGCTCAACCCGGGAGAGCCCTGCCCTGGGTGGGAAGCCCGACAAGCCCTCTTGGGAGAAACTGCTCCTGGCCTGGCCCCAAGCAGCTTCCTGAGGTCAAAGACAGCAACTCAGGGGGGACAGGGACCTGCAGGTGCTCTGGAAATGGGCTCCCCAAGCCACCCCCTCCTCCCAGCGAGGCCCAGGGCCCTGGTGCCTCGGAGTGTGGAGCGTGCCCCCCGGGCTGCCAAGGGCTGCCCCTGGCCACCTGCTCACCGGTCCTGGAGCCGGTCCTGCGTGTCCTTCAGCCTGGCCCTCAGGTGCCGGATGCACACCTCCTTCTGCTGCAGCGGGGTCAGGTACTGCTCCGGGGTGGGCGGCTTGATGCCATGGTTGTCGCTGCACAGCATGTACTTCATGGAGCGCCTGCAAGGGGGCGCTCGTCAGCCAGGAGGGACGGAGAGCAGAGCCAGGGGTAGGCCCGTGCCTCCAGGGAGCAAGAGGATGCCAGCCCCACCACCCAGGTCCACGGCCACCAGGGCTCCAGGCCAGGCCTCCCGGACAGGCCCCCGGGGGCCCCAGGACACCCCGCCCTCTTCTGGAAGGTGGGCGTTATCAGAGCTCTTCTGAGTGAAAACCACAGCGTCAGGTGGGGAGCCCCAGCTCCTCTACTTGGGGGTGGGGAGACGTACTGTAGGGCATACTGACACCACCTCCATCAGTCCAGCCCCAGAGAGCTCAGGCGCCCAGTCTCCCAACCCGAGAACGAGGCTGGGGCTGGAGGCTCTCCCTCCTCGAACCCGCACACACACTCACTGGGCGTGCACATCGGAGCACACGGACTCCCAGTCCATTTGCGCCTGCATGTCCACAGACACGAGTACACACCCATGCCCATGCGTCCCCACCCTCTCTCTACGGGCACAGGCACATGTGAGGACACTATGCACGGACTCATACAAGTGCACGCCCCCCTTTTCTCTGGGGCACATGTGAGCACACATGTGGACACGGCTGGCTCTGACCCGATGTACCCGAGGTGGCAGCGGGCTGGCTGTGCACTGCTCTGGAGGCCACATGCTCCCCAGCACGAGGTGGCACAGGCGTGTGTATGGTGAGTGCACCCTGGTCCCACCCGTGTAGAGGAGGGAGGGCCAAGGCTTTCACCCTGAGAAGGAGGGCACCCCAATTCCACCAACAGAGCCTGGCCCGGCCTCCTCGGCTCCCAGCTTCCTGCCTGCTGGTGGTTCTGTTCATGAATCCCTCCTCCCGCCTTGGGTCTTGGCTGAACACCCTGGGCAAGTTTTTCACACAACTTGGCAGGGGACTTGCTGCCCCCAACTCGGGTCCTTTGGGGCAGGGGGCTCCCAGGTCTAGGGAGGGACGATGGCATGTGGGGGCCCGGAAAAGCAGGCCGGGGAGGGCCACTGCTGCAGCGCCAAGTCGCTCCTGTTTTCTGTGACGAGGGGCAGAGGAGGCGTGGGGTGGAGCTCAGGGTGCCTCTCTGGTGGCGCAAGAAATCTCTTTCCAAAAGACAAGCAAGCCAGCAGAGCCCTGCGGCCCCATGCGCTGGCCCTGTGGGCTCCTGGACCCTGCAAGGACTGCTGGACACACACCTCTGTGGCGAGTGAAAGGTCTCCTCCCCGTGCCTGGGGGCGGGGAACCAGGGTGAGTTACGCGAGTAAGTGCTGAGGCTGAGAGAGGAAGCAACTCTTTTAACCTTTCCATTTGCTTTTATGAGTGTTTCCCCAATATAAGATTTAACACTCGCACATTTTAGTCACCAGCTCTATCTTTGTGGGAAAACATTTATACACAGGGAGAGAGTGTACTATAATCCAAGCCTCTCCGCTATTCCCTCGGAGATCCCAGGTATCTGTAAGGGAGGCCACCATGTGGCCCCTGCTCGCCCGCAGCAGGCTCTCTGTGGGCGAGAGGACCCTTCCCCGGCAGAGGTCAGCCTCTGGGCTGGGACCGCCCCGGGGCCTGCAGGTATGACATGCATTACAAACATCTGCCACTGAAAGGAAAAATACTAAAGTTGTCAATTATGAACTTTTAAAAATTTAAGTGGCCCGGCTGGTGTTGCTCAGTGTTGAGCATCACCATGAACTAGGAGGTCACTGTTTGATTCCCAGTCAGGGCACATGCTCGGGATGCAGACTCGATCTACAGTAGGGGGCATGCAGGAGGCATCCAATCAATGATTCTCATCATTGATGTTTCTATCTCTCTCTCTCCCTCTCCCTTCCTCTCTGAAATCAAGCCTATATAATAAAAGAGAAACATGCAGATTAACCATCACTCCGCCACTCCGCTACACCCCCCAGCCAATCAGAGTGACTAAGCAAATTAACCCAACAAAGATGGCGGTTAATTTGCATATGCAGGCACAGAGCGAAGGCTGAAGATGGCTGCCCACCAGCCAATCAGAGCGACTATGCAAAGTAACCCAACAAAGATGGCGGTTAATTTGCAGACGCAGGCACAGAGCGAAGACTGAAGGCGACTGAAGATGGCAGCAGCCACAGAGCTGGAGCAAGCAGGAGTCTTGGGTTGCTCCCGGTGATGGAGGAAGCCATGCTTCCTGCCAGCCCTGGACTTCGCTCCAAGAGGGGCTGGGGGACTGGGTCACCGGGGCGACCCAGGCTCCCAGCCCTGGCGACCCAGGCCCCCAGCCCACCCTGGGCTTCGCTCAAGGAGGGGCTGGATGCCTGGGCTCCACTCAAGGAGCTGGAAAAAAAAAAAAAGGTGGGGCTGGGAGCAACCGGAGCGGAGAAGCCAAGCCTCGCTGCTGTGGCCGGACCAAAGGCCTGGGTCCTGGATGCCAGAGGAAAACTGGTGCTGGCAGCCAGGCGAAGGAAGGCCTATTGCATGAATCTTTGTGCAATGGGCCACTAGTACAAAGATATTTTAAAAAATAGTTATTAACTAATCAGAACTGCATCTAGGCTGGCTGGTGTGGCTCAGAGGTTGAGTGTCAACCTATGAACCAGGAGGTCATGGATCAATTCCTGGTCAGGGCACATGCCCAGGTTGTGGGTTCAATCCCCAGTAGGGGGCGTGCAAGAGGCAGCTGATCAATGATTCTCTCTCATCTATACTAATAAAAGGGTAATATGCTAATTAGATCGGACATCTTCTGGACGTCCTTCCAGACAAAGCCACGGTGGCAGGGGAGAGCAGTTAGGGGCAATCAGGTAGGCAGGGGAGCAGTTAGGGGCGATCAGGCAGGCAGGCGAGTGGTTAGGAGTCAGCAGTCTCAGATTGCAAGAGGGATGTCCGACTGCCGGTTTAGGGATTGGGCCTAAACCGGCAGTTGGATATCCCCCGAGGGGTCCTGGATTGGAGAGGGTGCAGGCTGGGGGGCCCCCCCCCCCCGCATGCACGAACTTTGTGCACCGGGCCTCTAGTCATTGATGTTTCTATCCCTCTCTCCCTCTCCCTTCCTCTCTCTGAAGATGGATGCACACACTTTAAAATGTAAGTGTACGCATCCGTCCTCCTCATGCCCTGTGTTCTGGAGTGTGGTTACAAACGGAATGCTGGGGCATGGGTCCTGCACACGTGTGTCACCCATCACTCATGTGTCATGCTGGACAACACTGAGAACTGTTGCCTCAGCACAACCCGAACATCACTTCACACAGATGACACGCTCTCCACTGGAACGGGCAGACGAGTCCTCCCAGCGGGTGCGCTGGCCACGGGGCTGCAGGCCGTCTTCCGGCCACGACTCTCAAGGAGGACCAAAGCCCCACCGACGGCCGTTACCAGTGTCGGATGGAGACGTGGGGATGGGAAGTGACCGAATCCCCAGCCCACAGTCCTCTGCCTCCCCCAGTATTTCAACGCTGGGGACAGGCTTGTGCCGTCGTCCCAGCTCGAACTCCCTGGTCTTCGAGGACCCACGGCTCCCCTTGCCCTGCCTCCCAGCCCGATCCCGCTTCTCAGGTCTCTGCTCGCCTTTCCTGAGGGCACAACTCAGCCTTTCTCCCCCACTTTCCTTTCCAGACCTGCTCACCTCTGCCACCCTCATGGTGCCCCCCAGGAAAGCAAGTGGCAGAAGCTGCGAGGTGCCCTCCAACGCTGTGCCCGGGAGCACACAGCTCTGCCTGACCTGGGCCCGCACATCACCCAGCTCCACAGGGAGGCGCACACAGGATTCCCGGGGAGGGGTCCCCGTCAGGAAACATGAGCCGGGGGCCGGGGGGTGGGGCTTTGGGCTTTTCCCCTTTTCCTTCCTGGGCATCAGCCCGCTGCCTGGAGGTGTGGGAGCCACATGTGATGAGGACAAGAGCTACACACCGAGGAGGGTGAGCAGGAAGGCAGGAGGCAGCCTCTGACATGCAGAGAGCTGCCGCCTGTGGCGCCTGGTCCTGAAAGCATCCCTTCTCGTGGGCCTAGGACACTGTCTTTGGAGACTCACAGCTGGATGCATCACACCCATTTCACAGACAGAAGAACTGAGGCTCAGAGAGGACGTGACCTGCTTGGGGTCGGACAGCCAGGGAGTGTGGGGGTGGTTAGGACACCCACGCCCCGCCCCCCAGGGTACCCAGGCTCCCAGGCAGCTGGGCCAGGCCAGGCTAGAGGGGAGGTCGTTACCTGGGCGTGGGGCTGCCATCGCTGCCCTTGCAGGAGCCTGAGGTGCTGCTGCCGCTGAGAGAGGAGGTGCCGTAGGCGTCCCGCATGCTCACGGGGGGAGAGGTGCGCCTGGAGGCGGGAAGAAGGGGCAGGTGCTCGTTCTGGCTGGTGGGCAGCTGCGGACACTGGGCGAGCACTGCCAGGCCGCTGCGGCCCAAAGCGCCCCCACTTCGGGGTCACCGTCGGGAGAGAAGCAGAGGAGAATCGGGGATGCACAGACAGGGTGACAGAACAGACAGTGCAAATCAAGATGGAAAACCAGAAGGAGGACGGTCCTCCTGACTCCCCAGGGCAGGAATGGAGGCTGGACAGGGCTGCAGGCCAACGGGGGGTGGGGGGGGAATGTGCCCTTAAAGGGTCCCCCACGCCCAGAGGAGGAGGTCCTGCATGGACCGAGTCCCAGGTGGAGAAGAATGGGGCAGGCGGGGGGAGACAGGAGGGAGCTGCGTGGAGGACGGCGGGACATCCCTCTAACTGTGAAGGTCAAACAGCACTGATGTGGGCGGGAACCCCATGGTTGTGCCTTCAGAGAACTTTACACCCACCGTGCCAGGCGAGCCCTAAACAGTTCCAGGAGGAGTGAGCGTCAGCAGCCCATTTTAGAGATGGGAAAACTAGGGAAATGCCTCACAAGGGGGTGGCAGAGTGGGGACAACCCTCCCATCCTCTGAGGCCAAGGTCTGGGCCAGGGGGAGACTCACCTGCGGGATCCAGCAGAGGCCCGTCTACTGCCCTGCAGGGACATGGCCATGAGGCTGCGGGTCCGGGTGAGGGGTGGGATGGGTGGTGTCCCCGGGGCTGAGGAGAGAGGGCGCATTGGGGGGGCCGCGGCGAGGGCCGGGCCGGGCCAGGTCATCCTCTCGCTGGGGCCGCTGCCCGGCATGGCTTCTCCTTTCGCCCTTCAGCAGGGCACCCAGGACGGAGCGAGGGCCTGGCAGGCCAGGCTCTGGCCACAGCTGGCTCCGGGCCCCCGACTTAAAATGACTGGCAGAGCCTCAGGGCAGCCAGAGATCATCAGTCCAACCCCGTGCTCTCCAGATGGGCGACCGTGCGGCACGGAGCGGAGGCCCGCCCAAGGTCACACAGGCATCGGCAGCGCCTCCCGACCCCTGGCAGCACCGCGTCCTCTATGCTACACGCCAGCCCCCTGGGTCCCTGACACTCAGACCCCGATCCTCCCTCCTCGGCGGGGGCTGCAGGCTGGAGGCTCCCGGAGCAGGACCAGGACCCCCAAATTACGCTGGGCTAGTCTCGACGTCACCGTCCCAGAGTGCCTGCTGGCGTGTGGCTCGGGGCTTCCCGTCTACAGGGGAGACAAGACAGACCAACAGACCAGCACACGTGTAGAAAGACATATGGACACACACGGTCATGAAAAGGCACCATGCCCGACATTCCACGTGAACATGCTCAGGGGACCTGCGCACGGTGCAGGACATGCAGCGGCCCTCCCGCACACGTGCCGTACACACATGCCCGCACCCATGCAGGAGCGCGTGCTGATCCTGCCATGCACAGGAGCTCAGGGCGCAGGCTCAGCGCATGTGAGGGCTGGGCGGTGGGAGCAGAAGCCCCCCTCGGGGTGTCTCAGGGGCTGGGCCCAGTAGAAAGTGACCGTGCCTGCAGAGGCCCATCCTTGGTCCTCTTGACAGTGGGTAGGGGGACGCAGGCCCTCTGGCTCCGGCCTAGGAGTCACTAGGCACCTCTCCTGGGACCCTAGGAGGGGAGGCCTCAGGCCAGGCGGGGTGTGAGCTGCTGTGGGGAGGTGGCTGCCTGGGCACCAGCCCAGGGCTCCTGGCATCCAAGGTGGAGGGCCTGGGCCCTTGCAGCCAACATGCTAGTCCTGTGCCGGCTCCAGAGACCCGTCCCCTTCCTCCACGCTCAGGGCAGTAGCCTGTGTCACAGGAGACTCGCCGAGGACGCTGGACCCCAGACCTGGCCCCATGCCGGGAAACAAGCATTCACCAAGCCCCGCTCCTCGTCTCAGACCCCAGGCCGGGCACGTTACGTACATTCCGCCATCGACGCCTCCCAACAACCCTAAGAGGAAGTGCTGTGGTTAGTCCCTTTACAGATGAGGAGTCCCGAGGGAAGGCACTGGCCCAAGTCACACCCAGTGGTGGCTGGGCCAACACCAGACGCTCAGGGGCTGGACCTCAAACCCTGGAGTCCCCGGGCCAGGGCACCACCCCTTCCCGCGTCAGGGCCCCCGGGGAGCCTGGCCATCCTGGCCGGTGGCGGGGCTGCCTCCTGAGCAGACAAAGGCGCTCCTCAGTGGCCTGTTTCCTGGCTGTGACACAGATGCGGCCCGTCCCCTGGACGGCCAGACACAGCCCGCATTGTCCGCACGAGGTGTCAGGTGCCGGCGCAGGAGCCTCCGACACCAGGCCTGTCACCTGAGCTGCTCGCCCTTGCTTGGTGATGCGGCCCACCCATCACGCCCCGTCACCCAGGCAGGGCCTTCTGGGACCGTCGGGCCGGACCTGGAGGAGGAACCACAGGTGATGCGGCCCACCCATCACGCCCCGTCACCCAGGCCGGACCTGGAGGAGGAACCGCGGGACAGGGGCTGGGGCAACAACGGTGCCCCCACACTTGTCAGGAAGCCTCCAATGGCCGCCTGCCGCCTGCCTCCGGAGCACAGGAGGGCTGGGCTGGGCGCAGCTGGGGGGGCTGGGGCTGATGGTCCTTCTTCGTGGGGGGGCCAAGGCTTCTGGGATCACCTGCCGGGGACTGAACCCCATGCGGCCAGGTGACCATGCAAAGTGCTTTTGTGTGCCCCGCCCATGTCTGCAGATATCAACCTTCCAGGCAAGCAGGGTTTGTGATCACATTTTGGCCAAGGCCACGCGGCCGCAGGTCTGACAGACCCTGGGTGCTGGTCCCCGCCAGCCCACTTCACCGCCATCGACCCACATCCCCGCCTCCCCCTGCTTTTGGGAGGAGGCGAAGCGGAGGCTGTGCCTCCAGGAGGACCTCTCAGCAGAGGCAGGACTCAGATCTGAGCACGCGCTGCGCTCTTCCAGGCCGGCTGGGATGCGGGTTGCTAAGTAGCTTGGGTGGGAAAGGCCAAGTGGAATTCTAGTCCCAGGTCCTGGGAGGCAGGCAGATGCCTGGCCTGCCTGGGAGCTGCGTGTGGCCTCGGTACAATGAGGGCCTTGTCCCAGCTGTCTCTCCCCTACCTTGCTTGGCAACCCCAAGCCTCCCCCTCTTGAGCTCTTTCCTTCCTTTTTACCTGGATAAAGCCCACAGTCTCCTGGGAGGCCAGGGCCAGCCACTCATCCAGGGCGGAGGGGAAGTGGCGTTTCCCCTGCTGGGACGGGACCTTGCAGGCAGGCGTCCTCAGGGGAGGGCAGAAGTCACCCAGGCCCAAGGCAGCCACCTTTCTAGGATCCTGCTCAGAAGTCCCAGTGTGGGGCCTGTGCGCTCTCAGCTCCTCCCTCCCCTCCAGGCCCGAGAGAAGGCAGGTTGCCATGGCATTTGTCACCATGCTGCCTGCTGGCCCAGAGTCCCTGCAGGCCTGTCCCCAGGTGGCCAGAGGCTGCCACTGGAACAGAGGGTGGAAAGGAAACCCTTAGCCATGGGTCACAGTCTCTCATCATGTCAACCCCAAGTAACTCCAGCCCCTTCTCCCTCCTGCCTCCCTCCAGTTCCCCACCTGCCAGACCAGGGCGGCACAGCCGAACCCACCCCTGTGGTCAGTCCCTCACACGCCCAGCATTTCCTGAGTACCCACAGGGCGGACGGGGGAAA